CAGAGGTACCATTTGGCTGTAACCATGATAATAACCCTTCTGCTAGCTTTCCACCTCTCTCCACCTTCCAAAAATGCTGCTCTCCTGGTCAAGTGAAGTGGCCTGACTAAAGTTAATCAGGGCGGGAGCCTTGCCCTGCCCTCTTTATGTCCCTTCATAAAACCATGGAAAGTAAATGTTAATATTGCTCTGAACTCAGTGCCCTGCTCACAGAGGGCGTGTAAACCAAGCTGATATCATCAGATACAAATGCAGATTTTGTTTCTGTTACTGGATCTTGAGTGAGTTACTTTGCAGTTGTGTGGTTTCTTAGAAGCTCTGGAAGAAGCATGTAGGTTGACCACACTTCCGGCTGGTAATTGGGGTGAGCATCAAGGCCCATGCTGTACTTCATGGGGGTAGTCAGTGCTAGACCAAGGAAGCAGGCTGAAGTATAATTGAACTCAGGGAGCAGGCATTGGATGACTCTACAAAGAAGCCTTCCTTAAGTTGGGCATTCTCCAGATGTGCTGATTTCAAGTCCCAGGACTTAGTGATGGCCATGATAGCTGGGGAATTCTGGGAATTAACGTCCATGCACTTGGAGGATGCTCAAGAGTAGCACAGTGGGAGAGAGACAGATAGGATTCAAGAGATGCAGTCCATCCCAAAGTTGTCCTGCAGGAGTCTTGAAGAGAACTAGGACTTCCATTAATTTTAATACGCAGATGCATTGGAAAGTTGTATCCTATCTAAATGAGCATTGCAGAGCCGCTCATTGTATTTTCTGACTCTAAAACCAAGATATCTCAGGCAAGGAAATAATCTCCATGGCATATGTTTAAGTTTTCAGTTGAATCCTGGCTTACCTAGAGGCTGATTTCACAATTAAAGACCAACCAGCTGCCAACACATAACCTACAAAGCTTGGTTACTTTGTTTAACCTTGGTTATTTTTCGGTGTTTGAGTATATTGCTAGTAATGCTTTTAACTGATGTTTTACGTATTTATATATATTTATGTTTTTTAATGTTTGTTGTGAGTCGCCCAGAGTTTCCCCATTGGGGGGAGATGGGTGGTTGAAAAATTTAATAAATAAATAAATACATATTATTCAAACATTTACTTAGTTTGTGAGTCAGTGTATTGTGCAAACGGAGCTAATTTGGTAAATTAGTTAAATGTTTTGTGTGACCCCCAGTAAAGACTGTCAGAGTTCCTCCCCCTTCCCCCCTCAAATAGAAATAGAAGGAAAATAGAATAAGGACAAATTATGGATAGGAATAGATGGAAATAGAATTTAATAGACTGCCACTGGTGCTGAAGAGGCAAGCTTTGCTTTTGTTAATGTAATGGTATGTGAGAATGACCTTGGGAGATGGGGGGAAGAAATGCTGCCTAGGGAACACTCAGATAAGAGGTGGGGGAACCCCACAGCTGCATAACGGATATAGAAAGAAACTCAGAAAGGAACCTCCCCTAACTTATCAGGCTGCAAAAAGAGACGGTGGGACATTTGTACTTTCAGTCTTGCAAGTTCTGTTACTGTAGCTTTACGGTAAAGTAGAATTAGCTCATCTTGTTGTGTTTCCTGTCTGGTTTACCTGGGAAGGCTGACAGTTAAAGACTGAGTATGTTTCTAAAACAGCTTTTGGAAGGTGGGTTTAGCATGTGCAAACCTGTCTGGTTGAAAAAAGAGATAGTAATGTATCCGGATGCAGATGAAGGAAGGTGTTCCTGTGGTTGCTGTTGGTTAAAACAGCCATCTCCTTCCAGAGGAATTACTACGTTTCTCAGACGGGAGTGTGGCTTGTCCCTTAAGTGGGTGAGATCAACAAGGCTTCCTTGTTGCATTTCTGAAGATGGATTCATTCCAGCAGGGTGCTGAGGTGTCTGTCCCTGGGTGAGGTCAGGGGAGCAAAGGATGAAAACAGCATTGCATCATCACGGTACAAAGTTTGTTCTGTGCATTCAGACATCTCTGGCATGTATGAAAGAGGAAAGTCCATGAGGTGTCAAAGTTTGGTCTGTTCTGCCCTGGTCCTGCGGTGGAGAGAGATGTTGGGGAATCCGGGTTGAAGTAGCTTGTTGTGGCTTTGGGGAGTTTCTTTTGCCCACCATGTTCCTGGCACTGGCTTTGGGATAGACCAGATCACTTTGAGAGTTATTTCCACCAGTATGATTCTGTGACCAGAGCAAAGAGTGCCAAGCTGTGCCCAGGAAGGCTAAAAGAGCGCCATGACCTGTTGCTGGAAGGCTAAAACCCGCCCAGAGTCACCTTCTGGGGGAGATGGGTGGCATATAAATTTAATAATAAATAAAGAACAGTAAAACAATATCAGGCCATCCAGATACCCAATAATACATATCCCAGCCAGGACTGGCACCGCAGACTACTATATATAAAGAAGCAGCAAACTTCACTCCCCCATGCACTGATGATGTTACCTAGCCTGGTTACAAAACGTCTTCAGGAAGACAACCAAGTTCAGAGAAGACCAAGAACCCAACAGGCCACCCAAATGCCCAGGAATCCATAGAGATAAAAATAGTGTAGAAAAGGACAAGCAAAATGATGAAAGATTTGGAGCATCCTTTCCAATGATCACAGCATCTTCATGTTCAAAGCCCCACCCCTTTTTACACATGTTGTGATGCTGTAAAAAGGGGCGGGGCTTCATTTACACAGTCGTAGCTGCCATCTTGATTTTGTTACCCTCTCCCCCCTGCCCCGTCCCCCACATACACTGCAGGCACCCTTGCCAGCACTCCCCACCTAGTTTAGATATATGGGGAGGATATGCAGAATTATTGCCGTTCTCAGAGTCCTCACCCAGGCTGATTGGGGATCATGGGAGATGCAGTTCCCGGTGTATTGAGACTGCCAGGTTGGGGAAGTCTGGGTTACCGTGTTTTGGAGGAGGGGGCTTTTAATTTAGAAAGGAAGTATCTTGATGGGGGTGGGAAGGCTTGATTGAACTTTAAAACTGTGCATGGCGCAGAGGGAGGGAATATCTTTTTCTCCCCTCCCGTAACACTGATCTCAGTATCACCCAGTGACATTGATTGACAGTAGATTCACCACTACAAGAGGGATGATGGCCCCTAGTTCATACTTTTCCTTATCCCAACTATGGGGGCCAAACCATTGGGTCCTATCTGCTTGTTGGCTTTGGACAACATTTGTCCCATTACAAGTGCCAGATGTGACCGTCCTGCTCAGCAGCATCTTTGCAGCTGATGTTCCTCGAGAAAACCCGGGGTGTATTTGTGTCTCCTTGTCCTTATTTTCCATTCTTAAATGATCCTTCCAAGAATGCTCGGGCTGCACTGTTTTTGTCTCTTTCTGCCTCTTCCTGCGTGCTTGCAAACATCACGGGGTGAGGAATATAGCTGCAGACGGGGGAATTTTCTAAGTGAAGCCCCTGAGGTCAGACCCACGAAACACACACAGAGTTCTCGTAGGTGTGTTGCGGGTAAGAAGCCTTGGAAAGCTTGGCGGGGCTGTTGTGATCTGTTTGCTCCCTCCTTTTATATAATCCCTGCTCTGTTCCAGTTATATAAGCAAAATGCTTTCTGAGCGAAGAAAACACCATTTAAAACGCTGCCTCTTGTTCAGCCTTTGAGGCAACTGTGGGAAAATCAGTGGCCGGAGAATCGTCAGGGCTACGGGGTTTGGAATTCAAATATGGATTAAGCAAATTAAGGGCCCAGAGGAAAGGGGCTAACGACACTCCACTGTACCCTTGGGCGAAGAAAATGAAATTAGATCTGAAGAGGGTGCCCTGCTTTTTTCAGCCTCTGGCCTGAGCAGGCACATGATGAGAACAGCTGCAGAATCGGTTTTCTCTGCAAAATGATTCTTTTCCTGTCTACTTGACCCAGTTTTTATCTCTTCTGAATACAGAACTGGAACTTGTGTTGGCAGGCTCAGGAATAGCATCCAGTGACGTGCCCTCCAACAGCTGGCAAAGGGCATGGTTGGTAATGCACGAGTTGGGTGAATTTGTTAAAACATCTGCATGAACTTCCCCAGCTTCAGCTTCTCACCGGAGTGCGAAAATGGAGTCAGTATGAAGGGGGGGAAATGGATCACATCAGGAAGAGAGGCAGAGTGGCGAAGGTGCCGGACCAGGAGTGGGGAGACCCTGGTTCTAGCCCCCCTTCAGCCCCAGACGTTCCCTGGGTGACTTTGGACCAGTCCTTCTCTCTCAGCCCAGCCCACCTCCCATGACTGCGACTTTGAGAAAAATAGGAGGAAGAGTTAGGCCTGCTGCCTTGAGCTCCCAAATGAAAGGCAGGATATGGATGGTTTTTATATGTTTGTATATTGGTTTTTTAACTTGTTTTTACTGAATTGGTTTTTTTCCCCTTGTGAGCCACCCAGTGTTGCTTAGGCGAGACGGGTGGCCCTACAAATGGAAATCGTAATTATAAATCTAACATATAAATAAATCAACATGGAATCTTAAGCGCACTCTCTTGAGTTTTTCATGCTGGCCATGCGCGTGTCTGAACTTTCAAGATCTGCTCCTAGTTTAGCCGAGGCAGGTGTTTCTGTTTCTCCGTGTGGCGTCCAGGCAGATGTTGTTTCCGTGATTATTTATTAGGGCTTCAACAGCGGAATTTTGTGTGTGTTGCATGCAGGCCTGGGCTCAGTACGATGGGCAAGTCAGTCCGCTATTGCTTCTTCCATAAATTCTGTTTTTTAAAAATAAGTGGTGTACTCCGTGATCATTCTCAGGCTACAGGTAGATCTAAAGTGAAAGGGGTGGGTGGGTAGGGGAAATTAGAGCCACGCTGGTTGAATAACTGTTAGTTGCCCACTTCCAGAAAAGCAGTCCCAACTCCAGCAGTGCAGAGTAGCCTTCCAAAGATGCCAAGGCTGCAACTCCCAGAATCCCCTCCCTGGCTTCATAGAGAATTCCCAGCACATCGAGAGGGCGCCATGTTGGATGAAGGTTCCTAGGCTTGGCTCCAATAGCTGGACATTATATTTTTCCCCTCTTCCTTTTCTCAGGATTCATACAGGAAGCAAGTGGTCATCGATGGCGAAACCTGCCTCCTGGACATTCTGGACACAGCTGGCCAAGAAGAATACAGTGCAATGCGTGATCAGTACATGAGGACAGGCGAAGGGTTTCTGTGTGTATTTGCCATAAACAACACCAAATCGTTTGAAGATATTCACCATTACAGGTAAGCTTGATACGATCAATGCATCGTGGTTGATACTTCTCTGATTCTGCAGGAGAAATGATGGGACTTGGAGTGACTTTCACTAAAGACGGATCTGTGCACGTAGCAGAATGAAATAGACCCACCAGGCCTGAGATGGGGTGAGGGGAAGGAATGATGGTGCCCCTCTGGGCTGCAGATGGCAAATACCTTTTAAAAAAAATTTCTTTAATGTCTTCCACTTTTAACTGTCCTCCATACTTCGCATCCAAGATCAAAATGTAGTGCATCTTTACATATTCATTTATCTTAAAAAAATACAATCCAGTCATGCGTGGTGCTATGTATTATATAAAGAAACATCAAATAATTAT